CAGGGCGCTGTTCCACATACTTTAATTTTCTCTTACGCGCTGTCCTCATTGCAGTGTTGCCACACCAATTAATTTTTACGTAATAGAATTTTGAACCAAAAGGTAATAAAATCGTAATAGATAATACTTTAAAGTAACATAAATGTATCACAACTATTATTAAATACATTTAACAATAAAACTTTAATAATTATTTAGTTAAGACAAAATTATTTCTGCTGCTGCAAAAGAATGGGGTAATAATAATAAACCACAAATTTTTTTTTTTTTTTAATTTAAACATTTGGTTTATCCAGTGAATAGATGTTTTCCCAAAATTCACCTTAGGGTAAATTTTTGTAATTTAAGAGCAAACCGGACACCTAGAACATTTATAATTCATTCTGAGCCTTTATTTTTAGTCCGATTTTTGTGAAATTTTCAGGAAATACCAATGATAACAAAACTTAGGTGGAGAAACCTTGAATTCTTTGTAAACCTTCGCAAAGTATTTATTTTGAAAATGTTTGAAAAGAATTAAAAAAAACATACGCGCCATTCTGTATTAAATCTATACAAATTTACTGCTTCTTGTTTTAATAAATATCTAGTAGTTTTTAAATGGAATGCTTTCTCACCTTTTTTTCCTAAACGTCTCTGTATAGTGCTACCGTAACGTTGCACAAATTTAAAGCTCTCAATATTGTCAAGACACATAATATCAAGAAGTATTCCCAATGGCAAGCATATAAATACAATTTTATATTAGACAATCCTTAAAACATTTTTGCTTTCGCGAGAGGTCCGGTTTCCACTTATATCTCCTCAAAGTCTTGAAGGGATCTACGTTATTAAAAACAATATATAAATTATGCTGAAATGCTGGAGGCTGGTAGTAATCCACTACTAAACTAAAAACTGACCCATAACAAAAAAAAATAATAAAATATAATAAAGTGACACCTATCTTGGATTTGTTGAAACAAGAAAACACAGAAATAACAAATCTATATATTTCTAATTTTTTTTAAGTATTTTTTAGATGGAGCCACTCATAAAATTTCGATATTTTAAAAAGTAATAGATTTTTCCTCTTTTCTTAAAAGTCGTAATAACGTACTGGTGTAATTTTTTAGTAATAGATTTGTTACAATTGTAATAGCAACGGCAACACTGCCTCATTGTGACGTGCTGTACCCATGGCACAGATTATCTAGACCAGATACGAATGTCCGCAGCGGCATATTTACCGGCCATGCCGGTTTCGGCTAAAGGTGCGCGTTTGTTGGACCATGATAATAATTTATTTATTGTGATTACGAAAAAATGTTAGTTGGACCATTGGAATAGTGAAGAAATAAAACTACAAGGAAAAATAATTTTTTTTTTATAAAGAAGGCAAAAATATGATGAAAAAAAATCAATAATAATTATAAATGGGACAAAATTTTAATTTTTCTTTTGGTTTTGTCTTTTTGTCTTTTCTTCAGAGTAGTATGCTTTAAAATGCGTTAACAAGTTAGAATTGTTGTAAATTGCATTCTTCTGAGAAATTTACGTAAATTTCGCAAGAGTGGATATGTAATGATTTTTTGATTAAATAGCCACATACATAGTTAAATGCATTTTGAGTGGTCACATTTGGCTCCCCGTAGTCACATTCAGAAATCGTTATTGCCCCAGCTGATTGTTTTGAAATATATTTAATTTTCATTAAGAGGAGAACTTGTTTTCCTAAGGGAAAAACGAATACCGGGATTCCTTTCCAGTGTGTGCCCCACTGCCGCTAGTGCCCACGAGCCGCCACTGCTCTGCGAAAGAATGCAAGTAGCTCTAAAAATTATAGAACAGTCGTGCAAGGACCATTCACTGTCTATCAATCCTAAGAAGACAGAAATGGTCCTTTTCACAAGGAAAAGGATGAGAATGAAATTAAAACCTCCAAAACTCCTAAAACTAAACTTTGCAACAGAGGTGAAGTACTTAGGTCTCACCTTTGACAGCAAGTTAACATAGAACTTGCATTTAGAAAACAGAGTCAAAAGAGCATACGTACATTGCTTATAAACAAAGCCGCCGAACCGTGGGGCGCACCTGGAGTTTCTCCCCCAGAGTTGTCGCATGGACTTACACGGCTATCATAAGACCTATAATAACATACGGTGCATTTGTCTGGGTACCGAAAACCCAAAAATTAACAGCTATCCGTAAACTAGAACAAATTCAAAGAACATCATGTCTCAACATAACAGGAGCCATGAACACAACACCGACCAGTGCCATGGAAGTCATTCTTGGTATCACTCACTTACATCATGGAGGTTGTTCTGACGACAATGACACGCCTCTGCACGGTTAGAATAGAATCTGATGTAGAATCTGGTGAGGCAAGACGTCGCTTTTGGCAGGAGGCGCTCGATACGCTGCCACTGCTTCAAGCGAACATGGACACCATCTCACCGAGATATATCTTCCATGTGCCATATAAAGTTATAACAGAACAAATAGAAGAGCCGGAAGTGGCAGGTATGATTCATATCTACATCGATGGTTCTAAAACAAAACAAGGCTCAGGATGTGGAATATGCTCCAGATTTTTAAATCTAAATATAAAATGGACTGTAACCAATAGCTAACGGGGATTCTCATAGCAGCAAAAGAAATCACCAGGAACAATATCACTGGAAGGAACATGCTCATCTATACAGATAGCAGACAAGCACTATTCACCCTAAACAGACTACGAATTTACTCAGGGTTAGTACTAGAATGTCACGAAGATTTGGCCGAAGTATCCATCAACAATGTGGTCACCTTAAGACGGATCAAAGGTCACGCCATATCAAAAGGTAACCGTCTTGCTGATTCACTAGCCAAGAAAGCAGGCAACCAAATACTTTTTAGACCTGGCCCTTCTATTGGCCTGACAAAATCGGTGGTGACAGACCTAAGTAAGGAACGTTCCTTTGTGAAATTCAAGGAAAGGTGGGATGAAACAAAAAACTGAAGAGTTGCCAGGGAGCTCTTAAGTTATCCTGACAACACTTCAGCAAACAAATGACTAGACAGAATCTACTCCTAGTCACAGGATTTCTGACTGGTCATTGCCAAGTACGGAAGCATCTCCATATCATGGGGTTGTCAAAATCCGCTCTCTGCAGAGGGTGTGAACAAGAAGATGAGATAAACGAGCATATCCTTTACCATTGATCGACGCTCTCATTTATTAGAAGATTTGTGTTCGGCGAGTATCGGCTAACACCGGCCGATATAAGAGAAGCACCGCTTGGCGTCGTTGTCAACTACATTAAATCTGTAGGCTGGCTCACGAGCTAGGAGGTGCCTATCATCTTAGGAGAATGCACAATGGGCCTAGTGAGGCCTATTTGCCGTGGGGGTAACCTACCCTCCACACGTTTCGTATAGGTGTACCTGATGATGAAATAATCACTTCGAAACGGGTCGTCAGTAATTGACTTTGAGATAAATAAAGGACCTTTCTTTATAACCTTCGTACTTAAAAGTAAAGATGATGGTGCTAATATTACTGAATATTGCCGGTGCCCAAAACTATACTTTAGAGAACTTGAATGAAATTGTGATATTACACAAATTACAAGTAACTGCGTAACCATATCCCATGGTTGCTCCCTCAGTTAATGCATTTATGTGGGATCGATTTTGAGTCATTGTCTTATATTACTTATTTCTAGTAGACATTTTAAATTTTATCTTTAAACAAGTGCAATATTTTATTGACTGAACTATTAATTAGGATTAATCGCGTATTTGATTTAATTTCAATAATTTATATCGAAAGAAGTTCATAGTGATAATCCATGTACCACTGTGGTGTTATCATTTATTAACCAACTCGATTATTTAAAAGATGTGTCACGTGACATAGGAATTATCTAATAATTATTGTTTTTACTGGTATAGAAATTACCAACGACGAAAAAATACTAGACTAATTTTTTTTACAAAAATCAAATTGCAAACATTTACAGTGTCATCTACGTAGTTGTCAAATTATGGGAAAGTATTGTACAATAATTGTTTATGGTTATAATTCGGTATTGACTAAATATAAGGCTCTAAAGCTCACAAAAGGCTTTCTAAATTACATTAGGAAAGTATATTTGCAGTCTTAATGCCAGTTATTATCAATAAATATTTTTTTTAGTTACAACTATTTTGGTGGTATAATGTTTATCAGGAAAGTATGCAATTAATTTTGAAGTGTGACAGCAGTGTAAAAAAAGCCTAGTAGTCGTAAATACTGATTGTGAAGATTAGAGAAGAGGCGAATCGACAATTGGGCATTCCAACGACCTGTCAAAATGCTGACAAGTGGGAACTGACAGTTTAAATATGGCAACCCACTGGGCTGCTGTCATTGGTACATATATATATAGCGGTCAAATTTTACAATTTAACTAACTATATCGAATTTGGTCATAACTAATTTGCATTTTCTATATACAAAATTAAATAATTTATCACTTAAAACATGCAAGACTTATTTAGAAATAAATACAACAATATTTTCTGTGCTTTATTTTGCAAAAAACAAGTTAATTTTTATTTTTAAAAAATTATATAAAATTCCCTAGCAGCACCAGCGCCGTTGCGGTGAATTGCAGAAGCCTAATTATCGTTCGTCTTTTGGGACCGTATTTCGATTATGCCCATTCGCCTCCTTCTCTCTAGTCTTCATTATACTGACTTATTCATAAAACGCCTGCTCGCTCCTCAGATAAACATACTCGCACAAATCATCTCCACTCAAATTGGCAGTTGTCGCCTTTTTTCTAATGCGACAGCTCTATCTGCGTAATAATAAACACAATCTGAATGGTTGCAATAATAAAGGGTTTAATTATGAGTGAATGGATTAGTCTAGTAGTTTTTCGTCGTTGATATTAACATTATTATCCAATAGTACAGTCAATATATTTTTGGTTATTTAACTACATAAACATACTCTAATTAATACTTATATTTTATTATGTTTCCAGTACAAGTTTTAGTCAATTAGACTCTAGTACTTGGAATATAGATATGCAGGAATTAGAATATAATCCTTCGAAGAAGGACTTAACAGATGCTAAAATCCATCATTTGCTTGCTGAGGAACTAGGCAAGCCTTACAGACGAGTAAGTACAAAAAGAAAGGTATAATTTCAAAACTTAATCTTTTCATAATGATATAAATAGCTACATTACTAAAAATTTTAGGAGAAAAAATTAATGGCTTCAAATCTGGTGAGTGCAGCGGTCATAATGTATCGTTTTCATCTTACAATACCCGCTATGGTGAACGTTTCAAAAAAACCTAACGGCTTCAAATCTGGTGAATGCGTTGGTCATAGTCTATCGTTCCCATTTTAAAGTATACTCGTTTTTGTTCTATTAAATATACGATTTTGATTGCAGCACAGAAAACTAAGCTACAGTCGTCATGCTGTCAACGATCGGGATCTTTCGACACAAGTCAATTACAGGATGCACTTCAATACAAGAAGGTTGGTGGCTGATAAGAAGCATCATCATAAGAGGCACAGCAAAAAGATGAATAAAGTGAGTAAGGCTCTGTATAAATAATTTTATCCAATTTTGACACATTAAAATGACTATCAATTCCATAACAACAATAACAAATAAAGTTTTATTCACTAGCAACTAAAAGAGTGAGTTAAAATTTTTTTAAGTCACTAGTGACTTAAAAAACTTTTAAGTCACTATTAGTTAAACTAATAATGTACCTATATTACTGTCGACAGCCAAATGTGGAAGTCGTTATTTAGGTATCGATATTAGCACTCTTTAGGCATGTGTGCATATATTATGTAAAGCCAATATAATAAACAATGGAATCAGTCTTAAAGTTTTATTATAAAAATCAACTTGTAACAATAATTATGAAAACAATGAAAACAATAATACTTAATGGAAACTACAATGGGAACTATCTTTGCATAATTATTTTTTATAATCAAAATAAAAGTTACAGTTATTTAAATTATTAAACTGGAGCTTCATTTCGTTGTTTAATGGAATAGTTAGTTGCTCTGAAACATTAGAAACTACGTTTGAATGGATGGGTCCATTGTTAGAATCGATGTTTGTACCGATGGCGATGGGTTCATTGTTTAAATTGGAAATTTGTAATGTATTCTCCGATATATTATATTTATTATTGGCTACTGTCCCAGCTTTTTCAGGTGCACCTACTGCAACTTCATTACCCAATATTTTTCTTAAAATTTCTATTTTATTTCTTATAGATTGTTCAACATATCCTTCTGCAACTGAGTCAGAACGCCATCCTCCATGTCTTTTTAATATCGATAAATCGGCGCCTGCTTCCGCCAGCAAAGAGGCAGAGGATCATCTAAAACTATGTCCAGTACAGTCTCCCGCATTTTCTAAGCCAAGAAACTCTGCTATCTTCTGAGGCATTTTGGAAAACCTACATGCTGTACCGTGCATTTTTCATTTTTATAGTTTATGTGGTACATTTTGCGGGCGCAATTTCTTATATTTCTGAAACACATCAATTGCATTGATATTGCTTCCATTGACAACAGTGAATATTCTTTCTCTGTAAGTTTTAGTGTCGGGAATTTTCACCACTAATACACTTTCTCTGTCGTCAACATTATTAGTGGACATCGCTACCAGTTCGCAAATTCTGCAGCCTCCTGAAACTCCCATTATCAAAGCTACTTCAAGCAGTAAATACTTGTCATCAGGAGCAGTATCTAAAAATATCTATTACAAGGCTATTATTAGGAGGGACAAGAGAGGCAGTTGCCTTCTAACTTCTTTAATTATTACTGTTTATTTAATTATTTTATTCTTATCGAAAATAGTAAATGAAAAAACTGGTGAAGAAATACCGTAACATTTCATATGAAAGTATACAGAATATTTTAGGCATTAATTCACCAAGAGTTTACGACATTATTCATGAATAAAACCTATTTATCATCCATCGTTTTCTTTTAGCTGATAAATCCTTTGATTGTAAAAAATTTGTTGTTTGAACAACAACAAAAAAATTGATTTAAACCTTATCAGCTCTGCTCCCACAATTTACAACTATGAAAGTTATTGACATGTTTGGTTTTTGTTGGAAATACTTCACAAACATATTAACCATAAATTACCATACGTAAATGTATTTTTATCTTGTTACACAACTTTTTAGTTGAACTCATTGCACGAAGGGTTAAACATTTTAATATTTAATGTAAAATTCTTTAAATATCTTTCAAATAAAACTATCAACCGTTGAAAAATTTAAAAAATTGTCAATCATCGGCCATTAAAAACGCAATCATATCCTCTTTTCATAGTATCATTGTTTGAACGAATGCATAAATGTATTAAAGAAATCGGAGCTTATTTAAAACAAAATAAATATCCAAATCTCAACATTTTTAGGTCCTTATATACTCCAATGGAGTAGCGAAGCGAGTCTCTTATTTCGCATTCTTTTTTAATAAGGTTGTCTGGTTCAAATGATTTTCAGCAAAACTTGGTTGTTCTTTCAAATCAATTGTCTTTTTATTTTTCGTAGTGTAGAATTGGAATTACACTTCTTAGGAGTACAGAAATATTTATTTGGTTTAAAAATAAAATTTGCACATGTAAAAACGGTCGTTTGTATTCTTAATATTTTTTTATTTATCTCTGATGTTAATTTTTTCTTCCCCGTCTCCATCTCCGTTGGACGACCATTGATAGGAATCAATGGTCGTCCAAGCTCAACTGATCAAGATGCACCTCAAAGGACATCGACTATGATATATCTGCTTAAGGGCTTAATTATAGTCTTCATAGGCTTAACATAATAATTATGACATCAGTTTCGAGATTGACACTTGAATAACCTTAAATAAAATCGACCTAAAAGTCTTAAACTGAAAGAGTCAAAACTAAAGGTAAGATTATGTAGGGATCACGATGTCGCCACACGTACATTGATTTTTGTCCGTATTCAAGTCACGAAGTTACGTGATTCTTTATCAAAATTAAGTTTTACTAAAATAATTGTTCCAATCTGGCTTTACGCTTGCCCACGATCAGAGATTACTCGCTACATAAATATCAATTAAACGTTGGGAGAGGATTTAAATTTTAAGCTGAATTAATACGTCAGGACAGTTGTACATGTAATGCAATCAAAACACTTTTTCTAATTTCGTATATCTCTTGGGATTCCGAGGGCTCAATCCTATTTACGAGTACAACAGGATTGGATTGATTTGTATCAATGAAGCGTTTTTCAAAACACGCGATCGGGATCTTCATTTTTGCATAATTTTTTTAAATTATTATTAAAAATTTCATTTATGTTATATAACCTGTTGTTGGGATATTATTTTTGTAATTAGAATTTTGCAACACGAATCTGTACATGCAACAAATGTTTTTACTTTATTTTCTCTGCTAAATTATATTAGGTGTTTTTAAAATCATTTTAATTTTATAATTTTTTTTTAGTTTTCTTGTTTTTTTAAAATATAATAGTGCAGTCAATATTATTTTTTTTTGAAAATTTACCATAGGTGTGACATAATCTTTTCACTCGAAGATATTTTCGCTATATTTAAATGTTGTACTTCGCTGAGATCTAATGCCGCGTTTAAGAATCCACATCGGATGCATTTTTTACATCTTGAGCGTTTTTTTATCCACATCCGACACATCTGTCCCATTACATTTACGTATACTGAATCACGAGATCAAAGATTTTTTACATCTCAGATGCATCCGATGTGGATTCTCAAACGCAGCATAATAAGGCGAAGTATTGTTCTTAATTTCAGGACGGGAAGCAAAACCACGTTAGTTTTCCTGAATTTCAACAAAACGGAACTGCAAAACAATTTTGTACAGGTGAGCAAAATAAAAAAAAAACAACTTTTGAATACATTTCCTAAATTAAAAATGCAAGTGTTTTTTCCACAAGGGGGACAATAGTAATAACCCAAATACGATATACCATATTTACTACTTGTTTCAAGTTTTAAATAATGAGTAGCGAAGAAATGGGAGAGCAAAATATGGAAACTCATGATCCCGTACATCTACCATTTAACCTAGAAAAATACAATGTCATTTACAATAATGATTTCAATGAATAAGTAAAAAATGGCAAGGGAGGGACGATGTGATACACGTATGAGGTCAATGACTGCACATTTTGCTTCCTCATCACCTTACTACTTATTTTATTAATAATACCCATATTTCCGTTTGATACTCTTAAAATAGAGCAATGTGCTTGCAACATTTCTAATTAGATCATATATTAGTTTTTTTTACAAATTTTTGATTTATTATTAAATAGAGGTTTTTTGATTTCTTTTCTTCAATCGCTTGCATATACGACACGTGTCTAAACAAATTCTCTGCTCAAAATTGAATATTTCTTTTGTTGCTTACACATAAATGATATGACTTTGTGTGCGTCTTAATCAAGCTCTCTTTCGTTATAAATCTATTATCACTGTTTCAATTAGATTACATAACCGAAGTGCTAAACGAGGACGATAATGAACCCTCTTCGAAAAGCATTAAAGAAGAATGGGATAGTCCTATAACTTTCACGGCGAAATCCTCACGTGAGTATTTTTATCAGAATATAATTGGCTCTGGCATTTGCATGAACAAAATTTTACTTTGCCCAAAAAGAAAAGGCTGTGAAGAACAAATCGCAATAAGTTAAGCATACATGAATACGAGTACTTTCTTATAATTTTTAATAAAATATATGAATTTTTGATGGTTTCTGTTAACGTTTAATGTATCAGAAAAGAAATTTAATATGACCGTTGATATGAGAGAATAAATTACAGTTGATAGAGAACAGATAACGGTTGGAAGTTTAAGTACACTTTGCTTTGGTTTATCAGTGAGTAGCTACTGAGTTCCACATATTCCTTTTATAGAATATTTATTCTATTTTCAGTGATAATAATAGCCTTTTTTGTACCGTTTTTAATTGATCAGATAAACTCGCATAACGTCGACCTAATACGAAAATGGCCAAAATCACATTTTATCAATTTTACAGGAGAATCCAAAAACCTCATTTCAAGGAGAATTCCTTTAAAATAGTTTTTAAAAGTTAAAATTTGCAAAAATATTTAAGAATTAAATAGTATTGATTTTTTTTATAAAATATGGGATTCAGGCCATTTTCTGCATCTTTATCTAGGACATAGGCAATTTGCATTGATATAGGCTTATTATATTGTTTTACTAAAAAAAAATACCTACATAAAATTCCTATTTTAAAAATAGAAAATAGTAGTTTGTATACCTAGTGATTTTGAAATATTACTTATGAGGAAGATTATTATAAAAGGTATGGTAATCCTTGTGCATTGAACATTTAAGCGACATTAAATGTTCAAATTTCTCTGCTTTAATTGGAATCGATTTTTCGTATAAATTAGGTAATTCTTGGTAGGGAATAACTGTTCGTTCTTTTTGGAAGTTCTAAATGGTAGAACTTTTCACTGATCAACGTGTGTTGTTTTAAATAAGACAGATCCATCTGGTTGATCTAATGTCAGTTACGGTGGTTTCTCCGGTTATGCGTCCCGGTCTGATTGACAGAATATATTTAAGTTTATCAAAGTTTTTGAAGAAACTGTGATTGAGATATTGCCCAATGTAGGGTTTCGGATTCCTACGTGCTGTTTTGCATACTTCAACGTAATCCGCAGGAACATTGATGATTTTATTATGCAGTTTTTATTCAATGGTTAAATGCATTGAATCGCTTTCCATCTGCGTGTGGCCTTTCTCCAAATATTTTTGCTCAATAACGATTTTTTTTCTTGTGCCAAATTAATTAAAGCATTTGACAAAATAGCATTTCGATTTTGGCACGTACATCCATCACTAAATAGTACAATAGATTCTCCTGGTATTCCATCGGGTCCAATTACGTGAGTAAATAAATGATAATAAATTATTGAAGCAAAAACGTGTTAATTTGGTTTCCCCCTCATGCCACAAGTAGCAATACACTTCTTTTGACTTTAGATTGAACAATGTAAAATTGTAAACTATTAGTTTAGTTTTGTAATATAGACTGGACACATTTGACTTGGGGCATAGCAAAACAGACTGGAAGTCCATGGTAAAAACTATTTCATTCTCTTCTGATTTGTCAGACTCTTTTTCTGCGCGGGCTTAATCTTTTTTAGTTAAATGTTTCTGATAAGCGATTTCATCTAGATTTTTAGTAGTATAAGACATACATACATACACCGCATTGATCTTCATTCGGTGTATTTAGATCATCAAAATCATCAAATATATCGGAAAATACAGGGAAAGAAAGGGGCAAAATATGTCGTTCTTTACACCAATCGTCTTTGTAGAAATGATACAAGCCACTTTTCGACGTCCACTTAGGTTCAATATATTTGGATTTTCTATGCGGTAAGGTTGTACCTTCATCTGTTTCTTTAATTTCCCCATTAACTTGTTTTATTTCCTGCGTCTTGCAAACTCTGATTTACTCTTTGCCTTTTACTTAAAAGTTATTACTTAATAACTATAAGAAAATTGTCTTCTTGACTCATCTTCATTTATTCTATTCCTAGGTCTTTTGTACTTATCTTGTCTGCCAAAGAAGTAAGGTTAATCTTTTTCTCAGTCCAGCTAAACTTCCAAAACTTTTCAAACATTTCTCGTCTTTCTTGATCCAATATTTGGTTACATTTCATTGCACATTGTCCATCACAATTACATCTTCCCATCATTTTTTTGCGCTGTTCTTCACAGAATAATTCCATTCCAGGGAACGTTTTCATTTACCAATATATTCTTTACCAGGTCCCCTTTTAATTTTTTTGCTTCTTTCATTCCACCCATTTTTATTTACAAGCCTTCTCTTCTTTCTTGTCCTTACTTTTAAATTTTCTGATAAACCTTCAGTTTCAATATTTTCTGCTTCAATTTCTGCTTCTTGATTATTATCTTGATTGCTTGTACTCGAAGAACTTCTGCTCTTAGTATCTATATCAGGATTACAGTTTCTATTTTCTTAAATATCATAAACAATCAATTTCTGGTTCTACATTATCAAAAATAATGGTATCTCCATTTTCAGAATTAGCACATTTATTGTTCAACATACAATCGTTTGTCTTATCGACGTCCTCCAAATCTGACATTTCAATGGGAGTTTCTAAAAATTCGTTAATGAACTGAGACTCAAAATCTGTCATTGGTAAATTTTCTTTATCGGAATCACTGCTACAATCTGCATCTTCAAAAAAACATATATTTATATTCGAACATGCACTTGGCGACCCCTCTACATGACTTGTTGCTTTGTAGTTTTGCTCCATCTTCGTGTCTTTATTTGTACTCTCATTTTTTATCATTTCGTTTTCTTTATTATGAGTTTCGATATTTTTTTGTTCTCTATTTTCAGCAAGCCTATTATTTTTGTCGATCTTGAACCGTAATTCATCCGGAAAATAAAAGGGGCACATTAGACACAAATCAGACTAGAGAACGTTGCAGTGTAAACAGTTATTATATTTCTTTTATTTTATTTTTTTCTGCAATGATGTATAAATGCTGATATATAAAGGCACTTAATATTTTTGTTTTTAATATCGTGAGCTAGAGAAACTACTACAATATTTTTCTTGAAAACAATGGCAATGGCATAGATAATAGATAATTATAATTTATGTAAATATAATTCTAATAAAAAATGTACTATTTATTTTAAACAATTTCAATGCGTTTTTTAATTATGATTTTTTAAGTATAGCAAGTTCTCAAATAGTTCGTATCTAAAAACAGAAATTTGTCTAATTCCACAGTAATTCAATTGTAAAGTATTTCATGAAATAAGAAGCATTGAAATGACCCAATCGATTACAAAAATTAAAATAACATTCTTTAATACTTACGTGAACTTACTTAATAGGTATTTTATCAACTAAATATTCTTATTTGTTCAAACAAACGTAGCACTTTCTAAACCCTCCATTTAAAATGGCCGACACACAGGGACTTAGGTCATTTGCGTTTTAATACAGACCACCTGAATTTAAGCAATTTTCTTAATACCTTCTGCTGCCATCTATGGTTGCAAGGTGCGACTGTAGCTTTTGCTACCAAATGGTAGGAAATTCTCGTTTTGGTAAAAAATGAACGTAGGCCATTTTCGTATTAGGTCGACGATATATGTGTAGTTTTTCTTGAGGATCATACAGAAAATACATAAATCATTAAAAAAAATATATGATGACGGATTTTTTCTATATCTAATGATGTATTTTGATCTGAAATCTGTGCTACTAAAAATATTGTAGGGTTTTTTAATTTTGCGATATCTTTTTCAAATGCTCATAAAAATAATATCTTTGCAAACTAATCAAGTTTGAAATAACTAAAAAATGACAGTAGTTCAACTTCTTATTCGATACATTTAAAACTACGACGAAACCAAAAAAAATATTCTTATTTCGTATATGCTTTACACTACTCTGTACATAAATATTTTGAGGATTTCTGGTGTAAAACTTTAGTTTTGAGTATAATCGTAACAATATTTATTAATTTTGTTAGTATTTTATTTATTTTTAGTTACAGATGAAAGCATTTGTTCTGAAAAAGGAAGCGGTAAAAGGTCCTCTAAGGGATCCATCGAAGGTAATGCAATAATTACTGTTGCTTTTATTGCACTTTTTCTTATACAGCACTACCAGTAGTGCCAGTACATATTCTCCAATGATTACCTTCTCCTAAATTTTTAGTTGTTAGGAGTAATAATATAAGAATAATGGGAGAGCAAATCGAGCATCTGGTGGCAGGTCCAATGACCTTATTTATAAAATGATATGTTTTGATAAGATTGTTTTTCATATAATACACATTTTAAGTTTCACTATCCTTGCTTTTTGCTCTACCATATCGCATAAACATATTTTAGATTAAATATTTTCTCGATTAACCTAGCTTGCGATTTCATGAGAGTGTCTACGCCGACGGCTACGGAAATGATGCTTCCCTGGAAAAGGGGAGAGGAGGAGGGTTGCGTTCCTATTCTCCAAAGCGAATTTCCAGGATGGGCCTCCAATAAGGAGTATCTGGCTTACAATTCACCGTCTGCCACTTTCCTAGGTAGGTAAAAATTATTTCTTTGTGTTCCAAAATTAAAAGTTTTGTAACTGCATCTTTTAATCAGACCAAAATGGCATCCAGTTGAATTCATTTTAAAGATTTCCATTATCAAGTTGCTAAATTTGGTAGTTATAACTCTACTAGTAGTTAGGTGTAGGCAAAATAATAGTTTAATCGATTAATAGATTAGTCGATTAATAAAAAATCGATAATTAATTGATTATTTGCGATTATTTTTGATTATTTTTGATTATTTTTGATTATTTTTGATTATTTTTGATTATTTTTGATTATTTTTGATTATTTTTGATTATTTTTGATTATTTTTGATTATTTTTGATTATTTTCGATTATTTTCGATTATTTTCGATTATTTTCGATTATTTTCGATTATTTTCTATTATTTTCTATTATTTTCGATTATTTTCGATTATTTTCGATTATTTTCGATTATTTTCGATTATTTTTGATTATTTTCGATTATTTTCGATTAAATTCGATTATTTTCGATTATCGATTAATTTCAGTTATATTCGATTAATCGATTATTTTTATTTTCTATTATTTTCTATTAGTTTTTATTATTTTCTATTATTTTCTATTATTTTCTAATATTTTCTATTATTTTCTATTATTTTCTATTATTTTCTATTATTTTCTATTATTTTCTATTATTTTCTATTATTTTCTATTATTTTCTATTATTTTCTATTATTTTCTATTATTTTCTATTATTTTCTATTATTTTCTATTATTTTTTATTATTTTCTATTATTTTCTATTATTTTCTATTATTTTCTATTATTTTCTATTATTTTCTATTATTTTCTATTATTTTCTATTATTTTCTATTATTTTCTATTATTTTCTATTATTTTCTATTATTTTCTATTATTTTCTATTATTTTCTATTATTTTCTATTATTTTCTATTATTTTCTATTATTTTCTATTATTTTCTATTATTTTCTATTATTTTCTATTATTTTCTATTATTTTCTATTATTTTCTATTATTTTCTATTTTTTTCTATTATTTTCTATTATTTTCTATTATTTTCTATTATTTTCTATTATTTTCTATTATTTTCTATTATTTTCTATTATTTTCTATTATTTTCTATTATTTTCTATTATTTTCTATTATTTTCTATTATTTTCTATTATTTTCTATTATTTTCTATTATTTTCTATTATTTTCTATTATTTTCTATTATTTTCTATTATTTTCTATTATTTTCTATTATTTTCTATTATTTTCTATTATTTTCTATTATTTTCTATTATTTTCTATTATTTTCTATTATTTTCTATTATTTTCTATTATTTTCTATTATTTTCTATTATTTTCTATTATTTTCTATTATTTTCTATTATTTTCTATTATTTTCTATTATTTTCTATTATTTTCTATTATTTTCTATTATTTTCTATTATTTTCTATTATTTTCTATTATTTTCTATTATTTTCTATTATTTTCTATTATTTTCTATTATTTTCTATTATTTTCTATTATTTTCTATTATTTTCTATTATTTTCTATTATTTTCTATTATTTTCTATTATTTTCTATTATTTTCTATTATTTTCTATTATTTTCTATTATTTTCTATTATTTTCTATTATTTTCTTTTATTTTCTATTATTTTCTATTATTTTCTATTATTTTCTATTATTTTCTATTATTTTCTATTATTTTCTATTATTTTCTATTATTTTCTATTATTTTCTATTATTTTCTATTATTTTCTATTATTTTCTATTATTTTCTATTATTTTCTATTATTTTCTATTATTTTCTATTATTTTCTATTATTTTATATTATTTTCTATTCATTTATTTTCTATTATTTTCTATTATTTTCTATTATTTTCAATTATTTTCAATTATTTTCTATTATTTTCAATTATTTTCAATTATTTTCAATTATTTTCAATTATTTTCAATTATTTTCTATTATTTTCAATTATTTTCTATTATTTTCAATTATTTTCAATTATTTTCAATTATTTTCTATTATTTTCTATTATTTTCTATTATTTTTTATTATTTTCGATTATTTTCGATTATTTTAGATTATTTTCGATTATTTTCGATTATTTTCGATTATTTTCGATTATTTTCGATTATTTTCGATTATTTTCGATTATTTTCGATTATTTTCGATTATTTTCGATTATTTTCGATTATTTTCGATTATTTTCGATTATTTTCGATTATTTTTGATTATTTTCGAATATTTTCGAATATTTTCGATTAATAGAATATTTTTGATTAATCGATCATTGTCAATCAATTTATAGTTTTTAATTATTCGAATATTTTCGAATATTTTCGAATATTTTTGATTATTTTAGATTATTTTCGATTATTTTCGATTATTTTCGATTATTTTCGATTATTTTTCATTATTTTTAATTATTTTTAATTATTTTATAGTATTTTTAATTAATTGGTTATTTTCGATTATTCTAATATTTTCGATTATTCTATTATTTTCGATAAATCGATTATTATTGATATTTAAAGGATATTTATTATATTCGATTCCAACTAATCCATTTGCGGCAACAACTTTAAAAATTATTTTAAAGTTTAAGATTTTATTTACTTCTTTTTGTTTGAGGAACCATTTAAAAATGAAAGGCCAAATACACAAGCTTGCTTTTAAAATAAAATTATGGTGTAAAATCTTAAAACATAATATATTTTATTAACCTTCTTTTAAATCTATTTTTAATTATAAGATTAATCGACTTACCTGTAGGGATGATTAATCTTAATTATTCGAGCGTCGTAGTCCTTCTATGATAGTTGATAGATACACTTTTTGTGGATCGGGCGCAATGATTTTAAAGCCAAAAAACTGCTATACGGTACCCACATCGGCCTGGCGATAAACCCATGTACATGGCTCAGTTTCATTTTTGGTAAACTGCACCAACTGCATCTGGGGCCTAGGGCAGGGTGGGCCTTATCATAGAAGGACTACGACGCTCGAATAATTAAGATTAATCATCCCTACAGGTAAGTCGATTAATCTTATAATTATTCATCGCGTCTTCGTCCTTCTATGATAGTTGATAGATGTTTAAAGAACCAAATTTGGGTACAGTTTACCAATAAGTCTATATTTGAGAGTGCAAAATGATGTTCTTTGTAGGTACCTACTTGTATATACAAAATTTAAAAAATTTAGGGACAAAAATGTATAATTTTATTATATAATTTTATTACATAATTTTATTATATAATTTTATTATATAATTTTATTATATAATTCTATTATGTTTTAGTAATTTAAGAAACACAATGATTATAAATATTATATGTAGTTTCTGTACTTTAATAATTTTATAACAAATTGGAAAACAAAATATAATTTTGATACATTAAATAATTATCCAAATAGAAATTATCTGGTAGTTATTTCTTTCTAAACCTAAGAATACATCTTGCAAAATTAAATTTCCGAACGATGTCGCCGCGTGCTTGACTGAATGACTACTAAATATCTGTGTTAATCCCACTTTTACCTAATATTTCTTTTATCAATCTACTAAGAGTTTAAATTGAAGCTAGATGATAAGGTTTGTGGTAAGTATAAATCAATGAACCATTTGTTTTAAATCCTTTTGTAACCTTAATATAATGGTCTGTAAGAGATGCCACACGGAGGTTTGGATTTTCATTAAAAAATGGAAAGATAAGAACGGGTTGAGAACGGTTCAATCCAAATGTTTTTATTATTGATGATATTTTTATTTCTAACCTATCCTGAAATTGCAATATGTTTTTTTTAATTCAATCTTTGATAAAGTTTGCATACGATGGGCTGAGGTGAGAGCTAATAACAGTCAACTTATGGGTTTATTCTTTGAGGGGATAGTGATTCTAAAAGAATAATTTTTTTTTTTTTAAATATAAGCATCTTTCAAAAACCGTTTTATTATCTTTTCATCATTTGTTCCAAAATCAATAAGGTCAGGAACAGTTAAGTGTAAAATAAGATAAACCCTCATCTAGCATACCCCGCAAAAACCCAAAATATTATCTAAAAAATAATTGTAGGAATTGTATTTCTTATTTAAACAAAAATGCCACCACTTCTTATACGCAGTTGCATACTGTTTTAATGATTTTTCTGAGATGGATGCTAACATTATGGGATTGGCAGTCCGGAATATTTTTTTTTTGTTCTTACCGCCTCCCAGACAATTTTCCTGCCACCAGGAAAAGGGATCTATGAAGCGGATGTGGATTTCTGAAAGGGGAAATCAGTAAATTTTTGTTTGCTTTAAAAATGAATGGTTTCTCTATTAATAGTTGAACAAATGTCGGATACCACGGTTGTGAAGGCCAATAGGACACAACAAGAATACCAGTAGCCTTTTTTTCCTGAATGTTTTGTAAGATTCGGCCTGTTAATGTAAATGGTGGAAATGCATAAAAATAATATATTTTCCATTCAATAGTGAACGAACGCATCCACTGCTAGACTGTGTGGATTGGGGTACCACGACACATATCTTGAGCATTTTGCGATTTTGTTAGATGCAAAAATATTAATGGATGGTTCTCCATAATTTTCTTTTATTATCTGAAAATAGTTAGATCCTAACTCAAATTCAGTATTTTCAAATTTTGTTCTTGATAAAATATCTACTTTTGAATTTTTTAAAATATTGATGTAAGAAGCAAACTCATAAATGTTTCTAAACTTTCACCAAAGCTAAATATCCCGGGAAATTTTATTGAGTTTTCTATATTTTATACTTCCCATTTTATTTATACAGGCTACAGCAGTTATGTTATCAATGCGTAATAATATATTACAATTTTTAAAATTTGTAGTGAGAGACTGTAACCCATTAGGGGCTGCTGACAATTCCAATTAATTTATGTGTTCAGTTCTTTCTTCAACACTCCAAAATTCCTTTCCCTCTAAATGATCTGTGTGTGCTCCTTATCCTGATTTTAAAGAGTCTGAATAAATTTCTAGACAGTAAGATTCTTTAATGAAATTCCTACCAAAAAAAGCTAAATTCTGAAGCCACCAACAAAATTCATTTTTTAAACTTGTGGGAATTTGCATCTTTTTATTAAAATCTTGTTTGTGTAGTTTTAGATTTCTTTGTTTTACTGTCTCAAAGGTTTTGTATAAAGCAAACCATATTTAAAGACAGGAGCCATTGATACTAATTTCCCAACAAGGGATGCATATTCTCCAATTCTACAAACCTCTCGATGTCTAAATTTTTCCAATACATTTCTGTAATTTCTATTTTTCTATTTGGTAATTTAATCTCCATTAAACTAGAATTAAATGTAAAACCTAGATAATCTTTCTCTTGTTGGTGTAGCAATATACTTTTCTTGTAATTTATTACAAAGCCTTAAAATTGTAACAAATCCCTGGTCATTTCTAAAAATTTTTTCCATTCGCTGTAATCTCTGCCTATAAGCAATATGTAATCAAGGTATATAACTAATTTTACTCCACGTTCTCTTAAATATTTAACAACGGATTTTAATAATTTCGTAAATATATTATATGCTGCTATGTTTAAGCCAAAGGCAACACAATTAAATTGGTATAGAGTATTTTGAAACAAATCTAAAATATTTTTTTTTTATATATATAATTGTTATCTATAGGAAAAGAAAATAGGCTTCTTTAAGGTTTAACTTTGCAAAATATGAATTTTTTGATATTAAACTAGCCGCAGCTATGTAGTCTTCTAGTTTAAAATGTTTTGTAGGAATAAACTGTTTAATAATTTTAAATTTAGTATAAAACGAAAATGTCTTATCGAGTTTTTTAATTAGAAAATATGATGATAGAAATTGATCTTCTATAAATTTGCATTTATCACCCTTTTTATTAACAATTTATGTATGTCCTGCTTAAAGTTTGGAATTTTCGCAGGAGGTATTCTAGGTATAAGATTACCTATATGTCTATTTTGTTTTAGTATCTGAGAAAATAGTAATATAATACCTCTCAGCCATTGAAAAGCATTTTTGGAGCCTGGTTTCAAAATATTTTAATCTTCCCGCTATTATATCTACCTTTATTTTCGGATTTTGGAGCGCCTTAACTTCCGATACTTTTGATATTGGTTGTAGTGTTCCCTGCGGTAACCCTGGTTTGCGGTTTTCCTTGGGTATTGGTTCTTTGCTGACGACTGATCCCTTTCTTTCGTTCTCTTTTTGTACTGTGAACGCTTAAAGTTTAAATGCTGAGTTCCTGAAGATTAGTGAAAAATAATAATTTTTTCAAAAGGGAAATTTATTGACCAGATCTTTCCGATTTTCTGCGATACATCCTCTTTGAGGTAGTTGGATCACCGAATTACCAATTCTTCATGTAGTTCCGGTATCCTATACTATTAATTGTCTTTGTATTTTCTCCGAGAAAACTGAGAACTGAATGATTTGTGTCTAAACTAGCAAAATCATAGTCTGAGGATGGATCTGAATCTGTTAAATAAAACAAAACCCTTTATAATAACGCAAACAATAATGTTCCTATTTGAATATTTTAATCAATTCAATTATTTGCAGACAATAATCTGCAGGTTCCTGTTATCAAAACAACCACACCCTAATTAATTACGTGGCATTACTCTGCAGACAATAATCTGCGGGCTTCTGTGATCAAAACAACCACACCCTTAATTAATTTCGTGGCATTACTCTGCAGACAATAATCTGCGGGCTTCTGTGATCAAAACAACCACACCATTAATTAATTTCTTGGCATTACTCTACAGACAATAATCTGCGGGCTTCTATGATCAAAACAACCACACCCTTAATTAATTTATTGGCATTACTCTACAGACAATAATCTGCGGGCCTTTTGTAGTCAAAAAACTATACCCATGCCTCTATATTATATTTCTTTATCGGTTTTATAAAAAGAACGCAAGAAAGGTACAAAAAAATTATTATTTTTATAACTAACCTGCAGATTTTGTGCTTTCCGAGACAGAACTACTTAATATTTTTTTCAAACGAACCATTTTCTTCTTAGATTCCTTAATATTTTCCAAAGCTTTTCTTTTTTCGTTTGATCTTGGTATTTTTTAAAACGATTTTTGCACAATCTTAAATATCATAACACACGCGAAGCGCAATAAAATGAAACTGAGCCATGTACATGGGTTTATCGCCAGGCCGATGTGGGTACCGTATAGCAGTTTTTTGGCTTTAAAATCATTGCGCGCGATCCACAAAAAAGTGTATCTATCAACTATCATAGAAGGACGAAAACGCGATGAATAATTTAAATTTATATTAAGTGTAGTTCGCGTTAACAAACCTGAATTGATTCAGTACTACTAATTCATACTTTGAACGCATGTCCAATTCATTATTAGTTCTGAATTGTTACCGCGAATGCAACGTCAATTATATCTTGGTATTCCATATAAAGGTGGGCAAAATAATGGATTAATCGATTTTTGTTTGAAAAATTGTTAATCGACTAATCGTTTTTTTTTTTATAAATCGAAATAGTCGATTATATTTGATTTATAGATTAATCAATTATTTTAAACAATCAATAACCGATTATTAATTTTGATAATTGTCCAGCCCTACTTGTAGTATCATATGGCTACGCATACTCGTAGTAAGCATTCTACATTCGTGTATCCTTTAATGACTATCTAATCCGTGTTCATAGGTGGATTAGAAAATCCGCGGTCCTCCGTCATCGGTCTTTTCCGTCGCGAAAGTGTGGGTTCCGAGCAATCCTGCAGCACTGAATCCACTCCTCAAAAGGAGCGCAGAAATTCCTCAGGCCGAAGCACGTCCTTGCTCGTCGAAGATACGGATAAGGATAACGATCCTTTAGGCATTGCTATCAGACAATTACCCGTATCGCCGATACCCCAAATGCCTGTGCAGAGGAGGCAGGCTAGAAGGGGTTCTATGATGGAGCTGACTACTGGGTAAGTTAATATTATTTTCTATAACCGTTTACAGGACTTTTGGAAACATTTAACAAAAGGCTTTAGATTGAAGGGGCTTAGCCACAAAAGAGCTGACAACCTGCGAAGCTGTCTACTATAAAAGTATGCGTCAACTAGGCGGATCATGACGGGGCGGATCGCATCGCAAAAATCCGCCTATCACAGATTCAAATGGAACTGTGTCCACTGTTTACGGATTTGCACGGGGCGCGACGGGACGGGCTATTGAGTTGGTCGCCAGGCGTATTTATGCCGGTACTGCGACGAGTTCCGACCCGTCTGCTTTCAGTAGACACAGTGCGCATGCATGTTGACGATAATTTAGTGGCATAATTTGAATAATAAGAAATAACAATAATCAGCTGGTAATACATTTGCAAAATAAATGAAGCATTCCAAAACGAATTGTTTCTTTTAATAAATCCTCGTGCAGTAAACTAAAGTAATTCTTTACATACGAAAGTACGAGAAAAATTTTACTGGACATTTTTTTAATTCAGGAAACAGAAAATGGAACTGCGATGGATGACAAATCTGCTCGCATCCGCCCGCCTTCCGTCGCTACTAAACGCATGCAATCCGCCCCGGCCCGATCCGCCTAGTGGACGCGTACCCTAAATACGTTACCAATTTCATATGATATTCTTCTTATTTCAGGCTTCGGAAGATAATTAGCCTTTATATATTTTAATTATTTCATGCTTCTGAAGCTACAAAAGTGCTGCCAGTTAGCATTTTAACCTCTTCCGTGTGCAATATTGACTGATAATAATGATGTTTCTTTAGACCCATCACCAGAGAAATCATTCCCGAAGAAGCTTACGGGACTTCTTCTCTACGACGCCCGTCCTGGGTCAGCAACCTCGCTCAGCGCACTTCTAGCATCACGCGCCAGCCCACAGTGGGTGCCGCCCTTATGGGTAACGTTTCGTCCCCGTCTCCGACTCCTTCAGACGATGATTCTACGGACGACGCCGACGTGGAATGTCTTATGAAAGCGGGATTTTAGACAGCGGGGGGAAGAAGACAAACAAACAAAAATTATCTCGACTGATTGATATTGTGATCGAATATATTGGAGCAGGGAGAATCTTAATAATATTTTGTTACGAGTAAGAGAGGATACTTAAATATAATGTTTTTTGATTATTAGGAAGATACAATACGATAATTTTAAGGCAGTTTAGATGCCGGTAGGTGGGTCTGTGGCAGCGTCAAAATCAGTTTTTGGAAAGATTTTTGATTTATTTTGAGATTTTTAAAAGCGTCTGGGTAATAAAAGGTATCGATGTTACACACATACTTCAACATAGTAAGGATTAGAAAAACAAATTAATTATGCTATTTAAATTCAAATAATAAAATTGTTATCACATGGTCTTTCAAGTCGATAAATTTCAACAATAATGTTCGTATTTCGTAATTTCATGCAAATATATTTTAAAGGTTTCGTTTCTTTTTAAATAAATCGTTATATATTTACCATTCATAAGGAATTCAAACTACATCAATGGACCTTTCCCATTATTGATAATGTCTATTACTCATGCGCAAATTCTCTTTCCGCTTTAAATCATCAAAATTTGTTGTTAGGTTTTCAATCCTGAGTTCTAATTACACATCCGCAAATGTCATTTTGTTGCGTTTGATAGTATTGGTAGGAAAGTCAGTGGCACTTTTAGGTGTGTTATTTATGAAAGGCTAAATTACAATTATATCGTACATTATTACCTTAAAGAAAATAGAATCAGGAGCCCTCGATGAAGACGTCTTAAAAAAGCCTGTGTAGAGAATGATGTCATAGAAGATCAAGCTAGAGTTTTTTTTTAATTTTTATCAAACGTTAATAGAAAAAAGTTTGCTGCCGCCTTCTTTAAATTCGATTCACAGTACCTTCTTGCTTGCTGATAGGGCATTTCACCGCCAAAGCTATTGCAGCAAACGATTTGCATTAATAATATATATTATTTTATCACAAAAAAATTAGCCTTGCGTAAATGAATAGTAGATCTTGATTACTATCCGAAAAGTACATTATTTTACAATGCGCAAAAACCAGATTGAATTTATTCGCTCCGTGCGAAGTCATGGAAAGGGAAGCAGAAGCGATACTAGCGCTAGCTGCGGATAATTCGTGCATTTTAGGGGGATACTTTGTAATTTTGGCATATCAAATACACGTATACATTTTACTTTTTTTCAAAAAAGTAGGTAAAAACAACACAATAAGCAACCGGAGTTGCTGTGTTGAAAATTGTACAAATACTAGCAAAAAAAAACAGTGAAACTTATATAACAAATTTCACTAACAAAGTGGAAATTAAATCAAAGAAATAAATGGAAAGGTGTACAATAAGAAGAAAAATTACCTTTATTTTTGTGATAATAACAGTAATGCTGGAATTAGTAGACATCAGAAACTAGAAAGTTTTTAAATAAACAATAAATTATCATTTTACGATGTTCTTTAATATCCCTTTATTCTTAAATGTTCATTCAGCAAGGACTAGATTTCAAGATTTCTGCCGTTGAATATAATATTTGGCTGGTATGTAATTTTGTGACTTACTGATCGGAAACCAGTTTTAATCATTCATTCTATGTTTTCTTTAGAACAAAAATGAAAATATAAGTAGCGATCCTTTTTATACATTTTAACTTCACGCTATTATAAATGGTTTCTTCAATGACAACTTATTAGACTTAGGCAACTTCTCATACATTTTCCAGTAAATACTGTTGCGTGCCTATATTTTATTATTGATTTTTAATGATTATACATAATTTTCTTCAATTTAAGCGTTAAAAATATATAATAATAATAAATTAATGTTTTGTTTTATAAATCCATATACTTTTATTAAAACTAACATATATACTTTTTATTTACGAATTCTATTAAAAATTGTATTTGTCAGTATAGGCAGAAATACTCCTTTAATACCAAACCAAATTGGCGCTGCTGTCGCGCACGGAGCGAATAGGCGGTAGGCGTAGTCACATACCTGCCAGCGTCTTATTTATAATACTCCACAGTTGCATTCTATTATAAATAAGACGCTGGGAGATCTGTGACCACGCCTACCGCCTATAAATTCAATCTGGTTTCTGTGAATTGTAAAGTTATGTACTCTTCGGATATTAATCAAGCTACTTTACATTAGAAGATCGGAAAGTAGTGTTTTGCAGGTCGAGACAAGGAGATACTTGCTCAACACTAATTTTCGGTATCATGACGTACAATATTTTTTTTAAGACCAACACTTCGATGTAAACTCAATTATTTATTTTATTTAATAAAGTGATTAACAAATACTAAAACTAGATAATGTATACAACTTCATAAACTAACCAAATATATTATTTTTTAATATTTATGTACATTTTTTCTGCGTCCAAAATTTCTTCTGGGATTTCATTTTCTATGTCAGATAATTCAAAATCTGAATCCATATTTTTAAATTTGCAAAAACAAGTTTGGCATAAACAACAAATTAAAAATTAACGAACTGTCACTTGGCAATAAATCGAAACGTTTTTACCATAGTAACGAAATCAAGGCAGACTGTATTATCAAACGCGACTGTATTATCAAACGCGATCGAAAAAATGAAAAAGAGGAACCGGTAAAGCTTTTACCGATTCCTAAGGTCTACTTTCCGGTCTTGTTAGGCAAAACGTTACTTTCTGGACGAAAAATTGTTCAGAAAGTGTTTACTTTCTGGTCGGTCTTAAAAAAACATATTATTATGATTTTATTTTTAAAACTTGAAAATTTTCTACCTCTACCAAGATGGCAGCAAACTTTTTCTATTTTATTTTCTATATTGTCTTTTTGAAGACGTCGTCTTCGAGTTATTCATAGCTGGTGCATCTGCAGCAAAGTATTTCCATCTTCTATATACAATTAAGGTAATAATTAACGATACATTTATAATTCAGACTTGCGCAAATGTGTACCAAAAAAAACTCGATGACAGTTGTTTAAATTAACGATGACATAGGGTAATCGTCCTAGCCAACCCAACAATTATTGTAAGGCGAGGATAAGAAAGGGAGCAATTAAGTTGTTTGGAAAATTACTAGATTTAATATTCCCGCGCTTTTTTCGCGCATGAGTAATACGAAATTGTCGAATAATGGGAAAGGTCCATTTACTCTTCTTGTAAGCAATAAACATTTTTGTTGGTTTTTAATTTCACAAAATTTGAGTCTTTAGAGTAATTATCTAAAATTCGCTTACTCCTTATTAATTTAAGCTTCTTTCTCATCTTGCCATTATACTACGTCATATTTGATTTTTGGTCTTGTGATAATTGTTATTTTAAATGCCATTTTTGACGTTAGACTTGTTCTTCAAATACATGAGTAGAAGGAACAACGATTGTTGACATTTAATGTGACAATTAACATGACATTTAACATGACATTTAACATGACATTTAACATGACATTTAACATGACATTTAACATGACATTTAACATGACATTTAACATGACATTTAACATGACATTTAACATGACATTTAACATGACATTTAACATGACATTTAACATGACATTTAACATGACATTTAACATGACATTTAACATGACATTTAACATGACATTTAACATGACATTTAACATGACATTTAACATGACATTTAACATGACATTTAACATGACATTTAACATGACATTTAACATGACATTTAACATGACATTTAACATGACATATAACATGACATTTAACATGTCATTTAACATGACATTTAACATGACATTTAACATGACATTTAACATGACATTTAACATGTCATTTAACATGTCATTTAACATGACATATAACATGACATTTAACATGTCATTTAACATGACATTTAACATGACATTTAACATGACATTTAACATGACATTTAACATGACATTTAACATGACATTTAACATGACATTTAACATGACATTTAACATTATATTTAACATCACATTTAACATGACATTTAACTTGCCTATAATAACATTTGATGTATCGAAATTTTAGAGTGGCCTTCATGAAACGCATAATATTGAGCTATGATTTAACGGTAAATGGATTTTTATGTTCTACAGACTGATCTAGGCGGTGATTTAAGTAGAAAATCTTCTAAAGATTGCAAACTGAATGTTTTATTTCAGTACAAATAAATAAATAATCATGGATCATTACTTGATTCCTATATAGTTTTATGAATTTCCTACTACATGCATTCAGGTAGATTAATTGACCAAAAATTGATATCAAAACAAAAAGTATATTTAGTAATCGACCTAAAGAAAATTACGATTAATTTTATTTTTCTTTTGTTGAAGATAGATCAATGAATTAAATACACTGTTTTTTTATGGATACTTTTTTAGCTCCCTATTTACAATTTTAACTTTATAGAATTACCTACAAGATAAATAATAACATGACAAATAATGAAGTATTATTGTTTTGCGCTGTTATACTACAACGAATGATTATGTATTCGTTTTTTCTTAATTTTGTTAAATAATGTTGTTGTGGTTGTTTTCGAACTTTTTTACGTCTGTATTTTCAATTTAACATTAATTATACCGTTGATCGTTTGCAGTACAAATTTTTTTCTTGTTGTGGTAAAACAGTTTGGTTTTTGCTTTTTTTTAGGCAATATTTTCATTTGTAGAGCAATACGGGCTGGTATTATAAGACGATAAAGGTCCACTATGTGATTTTCTATTGTTAAAAATTGCCAACTGTTAAACTGTCACCGGTATAAACAAAAGTGCCAGGAAATTTATAATACCAGCTCAAATAGTTATTGAGAACTTAGAGTATTATTTAGAGAAAAAAATTGAAATTAACACCTTAAAACGTTTAAGAAAGTTGTAAAATAAAATAGTTATTACAATTATTTATTGTTTTTATTTACTTTCCCTAGGTTTATTTCGGCAATCTTCAAATATTAGAGTACTATCCTGATTCCGCTATACAGTGAGCATCATAAATCTTACCCCCCTAACTAACTCGTTACTGGAGTCTTATTAGGAAAATCGTCGATTTTTGATTTCTACAATGTACATTTTTGTATGAATAGTGTACCCTTAATTTCATCCCTTACTGGAGGGGAGTAACCCTTTCGATAAATTTGAATGGCATGGGGTGGTGAGTGATAGCTCATTTGAAAGGGAGTTTTATTCTCTATTCAACCGTGCAAAAAATTTTGAAATTTTCTGCATTACGTGTTGATTTATTAATGTTTAAAAATAACAAAACATCACAAATAGGAAAGCAACTTAACTAACAGTGACCTTATCTAATTGGAAAAAGTGTCACTTCACGTCTGAACCAAAACCGATATCATGCAGGGTCGAATTTTAATTCTAAGGATGAGTGCGCTACGTTAATTTCCGTTATTCTGAAACAATAATTAGTCGAGAATTATTGAAGCAAATTTTAAAATTTTTTGCATGGTTGAATAGAGAATAAAACCCCCTTTCAAATGAGCTATCACTCACCACCCCATGCCATTTAAAATTTTCGAAAGGGTTGCTCCCCTCCAGTAAGGGATGAAATTAGGGGTAAACTATTCATTCAGAAATGTTCATAGATAAAGAGATGCAATGACGGTACTAAAAGTGTCTGCACTTTTGCATTGCCCTTTTACGACATATGTTAAACTCAAGCTAGTCAGTTTTGGTGATAATAAATGCCATTTTTTTAAAATAGAGTGATTTAAATGATATAAAAACATTTTCGTTCCGTCAATTTTCAAATATAAAATTATTTACTTACAATTAATCAAAATATGACCCAAAGTGCCTCCACTTGTCATATCACAAAATAGTGTTTACGTCGTCTCTACCTATTTCATTCTCTATTTTCAACGTTTTCAACTTTTCAATCAAGCTATCAAATTCTAAAAAATCAACATGTGACAATTTTAATTGTGTATTGTATTTATTAAAAATTAAGTTTAATAAAACTGTGACTTTAATAAATTAGAAGTGTGTGTCAATTCAAGAATTGTTACCAAAAACGTCTCAGGTGAAAAAAATACTATTATTTTTAAATCTGATAACGAAATGAAATATACCCCAAAAGCATGTAACAACATTGTACTTTACCAAATGCCCCCTGTGCCAATCCCAATCCTGAGCAAAGTGGCTTAAAAAAATTATTTTATTTTAAAAAAATCACATAAAGCATGACAGCGCTAATTTTGTTTGCCCTTAAAGTTTTCCAGAAAATAACATTCAAATATATCTTGATATATATCGTTAAAGAAAAACATTTTTTTCCTCTTAACATCGCACAAAAACATCTATCCACGATTAGTAGGTAAAAATCATTAATTATGCTTCACATCCTTGTTGGAAATAAAAATAACCATGTAGTATACCTATGTTACGCCGCTGACCCACATGTTCAGATTAAAAATTTACTCTCTATCACTGCCTGTCTAGATTACTCATTACCGATTGTTGTGTTGCGTGATTCACATCATTTAAACCGGACCACATTCCAGCCATTATAAAAACATGGATAAAAACTATCTAAAACGAAAATGGTCTCAGAAATGCGATAAATTAAAAATGAAATGAAGGAATTCAGACCATAAGTAGGAAAATGTTTTTCTTTTTATTTAACTGATTTTTAGCTTGCAGAAGATACTACTTTTTGTGTAAATTTCTGCATCAGACGATAAATAAATATACAGAAGACACAACTTTATGTGTTAACGGTGCAGTCATTCATAAAATCCGTCTGCAAAACGAAAAATGCTACTTAATGTGCAAATTTCGCAAAAATTTGATAAGGGCAGATAATACTTTATGTGTAAATTCTGCATTATAGACAGACATGTACAAAGGAGGCTACTTTATGTGTTAACTCTGATCTTATACTAGTACAGGTTTGAGAATGGTTTTCATCATAATTTAATTGATTTTTAGCTTGCAGAAGATACTGCTTTACTGTAAATTTCCGAATTTAGACGACATATAAATATGCAGAAGATACATCATTCATATAAGCCGTATGCAGAGCGAAAAATGCGACTTTATGTGCAAATTTCGCAAAAATGTTGTGGCGGAAGATACTACTTTATGTGTAAATTCTGCAAATAATAAATAACTATACAGAGGAGGCTACTTTATGTGTTAACTCTGATCTAATACATTATGCAAGCCCAGCTAACCGCAGCTCGAAAAATGCTATAAGTAGCATTAAGCATTACACATTAAGATGTGTAAATGTTTTAAAACTTTGGTTAAAAAGATACTATTTTATGTGTTAGTTCTGCATTTAAGCGAAATAAATCTACAGAGAAGGCTACTTTATGTATTAGCTCTGATCTCATACTTATAAACTGCAAACTTTGCTAATTGCAACGCGAAAAGTGCCTCTTAATTTGTAATATTTGTAAAACTTTGGCTCCAGAAGATACTATTTTATATGTAAATTCTGCACTTAAGCCAAATAAATATACAGAGAAGGCTACTTTATGTGTTAACTCTGTTCTTATACTTATAAACTGCAAACTCGGCTAACGGAAAATGCTACTTAATGTGGAAATTTTAATGTGTATATTCGGCATATTATTGCAAAATAAATGTACAGAGAAGGCTACTTTATGTATTAACTCTGATCTTATACTTAGCTCAGCTAACCGCACCGCGAATAATTCTACTTAATGTGTGAATTTCGCAAAACTTTGGCCACAAAAGATGTTTCATATGAAAATTCTGCATTATAAACAAATAAATGCACAAGGGAGGCTGCTTTATGTGCTAAATCTGATCTTATACTTATAAGATGCTAGCCCGGCTAACCGCAATGCGAAAAATGCTACTTTGTAAACTTCAAAAAAGTTTGGAAGCAGAATGTAGGTACTATGTAAATTCTGCATTATAGACAAATAAATATCTAGTAACTCTGGTATTATGCTTATAAAATGCAAGGACGCAAAAATGCTACGCAAAGCTCATTGATTATATTACTGTATGGGTAAATCCTGCACCTTAAAAAAAATGGTAAAAAGTTGGGAAAATATTTGCAAGACGGTTTGGAGAATGGCAAAATATGAAAGTTTCTTTGCGAAATCAAAATCTGGAATACTTTCACTTAAACACCGAACCAAAAAGTTTAGTGACTAGTCACGTTATCAAATAAAACCGACTGCTATTTATATATGCTGCAAGACCAACTTGAAAGGTGATGGGAAGTTTAGCTGAACCTCTGTAAGCTCGGCTTGGATGGAACAGAAATAGACGCATCAAAACAAATGCAAATGTAACAAAAGTATTATCAGACATCTACCATAGAATATATGCATCGTAGGCACCTTATATATCCGTCTTTAAACACAAATGTGAAAAATATGATAGAAAAAGCAGATATCGATGGTTTTTCATTTTGGAAAGAATCTTGTAGAAATATGGAAGTCAGACAAAGCATTTGAAAAAACTAGCATACATTAATTTAATTTAAAGACACCAACTAAAAGCAAACAATAACTTCAATCAGTCTTTAAACTTCAGGCGCCTACTTTTAAATAGTGACTGAAGAAAACCAGGCCAGAGAAAGAGCAGGAAAAAAAACCCAAAGGACGAAACAACTATTCAGAAAAACAGAGAGGGGAGGAGTTATTAAAGAAGGAAATGAAGGTAAGAGAGATTGCTGGTAGACTGAATAAATTTGTAAAACATGTGGGCTAACTTAACTAATGATAAAAAGATCCTAAGATATGTTAAAGGTTTTAAATTAATCTTTAGAACACAAAAGAGCTTCCACCAAAGGATGTCTTTTCTTAGAGAAAAAACTAACCTACACACTTCATGTAACAAAAAAAAGTACTAAAGAATATAACAGGTGTTTGCTTGCTAAAGAAAATAAGTTTGGTTCTCATATTTTTTAAGACCCAAATGAAATGATTCATCTAGATTCATCTTTAACAAATATATAGATTCTCGCATTTCAAACTGGAAGATCT